GACAGTACACAGCAACAGGAATAAGAAATGGGACCGTCACTGGAGTTGGGTGTGTCTATCCATGGGTAGTTAACCCCGACTGCCCCTTTTAATATAATATGTGCTTAAGAAGTATGGCAACATTCAGTCTAGGTTAATTTTTACAAAATACAGTCTTTATATATTTTAGTTAAAAAATTTAATTCCATGGTCCTAGAGTTTTTTTTATCAGAACAAGCTAGGTACAACTTCTGGATTGTATTTTGTCATTCCTTATTCCATGTCCCCTTAATAAGTCACTGAACTACCATCTGTATTTTGCAAAATTAACAACTGATTATGAATTAGACAGCATAATGAAAATTCTTTAAAATCCAGTACACAGGAGTCGTTTTTATGAACTAAGCAGCTTCTAGTATATTTGAATGCCTCGTTGAAGATGATTATTTAAGGTATTCAATTCAGTTTTCTTTTAAAAATCTGTCTAAGAGATGAGTATTCTTTAGAAGCGTAAAGATCTGATTTTGAGACGCGTTAGAGGCCATTTATTAGTAGTAATCTTTTTTTTTTCTTCTTCAGAGAGTCTTGAATCTTTTTTTGGGTTAAATGTGTTTCTTGCAAGAATTGTTTTAGGAAATATTTCGGGTATTTAAGGAAGTGGTTATCTTTGCTTTAAAAAATGCTTATTGTGAAATGTTAAAAAACAGCAACCAAAAGGCAACTTTAACTCAAATGCATTCTGTCCTTCTACGGTGCTGTTTGTCGGTGATTTCCCATACTAGAGGTTTCTGAATTAGGAATTCGCATAATGACGAGTTCTGCTCAGTTTGGTTCTCCACAAAGGCTTGTTGTCTGAGCTTCAAACAAGGCTGCAGCTGATCTGTGTAGCACACATCGGCTGTTGATCCAGTTTAAGTGCGTGTCCGCGTCGCTCGTTTCTGATCAACCTGAGAAATTTGCATGCTGCAGAGCAACCATCTTCTTTTATACTTTATTAAATATCTGTCAATTATAAATATCAAGGTTTTACATTAATGTCAAGATAGTACATCAAAAATTCATGGAATATGTGACTTTTTCCAAGGGTATTTAATACTTAATGCATTTGTGTCATTTTTCTTTGCAGAGATATTGACAGGTTTTATTAAGTGTTTGTTAGGGAGATTTCATTTTTATCAAGGGACTATAAAGAGAAGCCGCGTGCTGAATCAATTTTTTTAAACCAGAATATCGTTCGTTTCTTCCATCTTCAAACGCTTGTAATCCATAGGTTTTATTTGAATTTCTTCTTGGTTTATTTTTGTTTTATGTGAGTGATCGTTCGAGACCGAACTTTAATAAGGATCAAATATGCTGACTGTCGTGGTTTTTAATTTCCTTCAGCATAGCCACCAGACCCAGGCAATATGGTAAATTCTTCAAAATGTCATACTTACATATTTAGCAGTATTGCTGCTTTTTATTGAAGCTAAACAAACAATTTTAGATATTAATCTTTTCCCAAACATAGTGATTATTTTGTACTAGGTACAGTATTACTGTGTCTCATATGGAATACCTCCTTTTGATGGAAAAGGGAATGGGGAAGTGCCTGCCTTGGCAAACAGAAGCAAGAGTTCTCTGACAAAGTAAGCTCTTTAATGCTGCACGTCTGATCAGGAGATGTAGCAATTGTTCATTTCTCCAACTTCAAATATTTATTATGCTCAAGAAAGCATAAAAATATCAACCACTTGAAAAGTCAGCAGGAAATGTGTGGCTCGTTGCTAAGCCTGTATTTTGGGGGGCAGAGGGCGCCTTTAGTGCTTGGACGGACCCCCTGGCCTGCCCTGCCTTGGCCCCGCATTCTAAGAGGTCCTGTCTCTGGTCTTTCTGACAGTGGCCAGCTAAAGCTGTGCAGGGCACCTGCTCACCCATCCCAGGCCTGTCTGTGTCTAGGAAACTACCGTCACAGCTAAAACCAAGTGCCAGCAAAATATGCGTTTTCTGTTGTAATTTTACATTGTTATTTTTAAAGTTTAGGTAGGAGAATCTTTATCAGGGAAGCAGGTCATGAGCACAAAACCCTTGAAGGATTTTGCCCTGTAAAGTGAGGAATGTTCAGTTACCTCTCCTCTCTTGTCATCGTGTGTGAGCCTGAAGACTTTCAGCTAAGAACATTTTAGGCATTTTCAAGTAACTTCGGATTAATATTAGCATTTTTGAAGGACGTGTGTTTTAACCTTCACCCAGTCTTCAACAGGGAAAAGCCTTGGTTTTAAAAAATAAAAAAAATTGTCCAGAGCTTAAATAAAAATAGTTGGAAATAGACGTTTTTCTTTTCCTTGTTCATTTTTTCCAGGATACGTGAGAACATTTATTTTCAAAATTAAATATTTTTCACATGCAAATCATTTTTGTTATCTGACTGTTTCAAGGTCCTTATAAAACTATTACATAATCATTTTTAGAGGTAGGACAGGCTTTTTAGAAACCGGGTTTGGGTTTACAGCAGGTTGCTTCAGAGGCCTTTCCCCGGGAAGTAGGGAACGCCAGGACTGTAGCCTGTTCCGCCAGGGTGCCAGTAGGTGGGGATAGTGTCACAGTAGTGAGAGCCTGTTGAAATGGAAGTACTCGCCTTTCTCTGTAGTGTCAAATTTTGCTTCAGTGTAACGGTTAAGTGCATGTTTCTGTGGCAGAATAGCTTTTTATACCAGAATTAAGTAGAGTATGCACACCCTATTTTTTTAAGCGGATAAGAATGACTGTTTCTAACAGGCTCTGCAAACGTTACATAACCCTGCAGCCAAAATACTCTTCCAAATTAATCTGAAGAACACATTTGCAATGTTTTTTTCCTTACGACTTCATCAGACTGTGAGCATGAGCTTAAATGTTGGGTGAGAAATGTATAGACATAGTAAAGAGAGAGACGATTTCCATCTGATTGGCCCTGATGAGGCTGCCCTTGTTATTTGAGTAGACTTTGTAGGGGTGAGGCTGGTTCGTGCATTTAAAGATCTTTGAGTACTGGAAGATTCTCCCCCAAGCCATTTTGACTTCCAGCAGCCTAGTTTTGAAAATTGCCATGTTTTCTTGTATTTAATAAATGAAACTTTTTTTTTTTTTTGGTGTAGTGTGTAGTGCTTATGGGATTTAACGTGGGAATTTACCAACTTCCAAAATTCCATAGTGAATTCCGCAGTTTTAATGAATTAAAACATTTTAAAATAACAAACATAACAAAACTTTCTCTCCTCCTGTAGTTTGAGAAGAGGTGGGACTCGCAGTACGCCCAGCAGATCAGATAATTTGAAGTTTTATCATTCATAAGTGAAAAGAAATTTTAACAGTAGAATTCTTTTTTTTTAAGGTGCCTAAGTTTTTCTGTGGTGCTTTTAATGATCACATTCATCCTGGAGGGGGAAAAGTGGGTCTCATTTGTTAAATTTGCAGTTTTGTAATGAAAAACGTGAACCCTGTTGTGGGAGCTTAATAATTAAGTGGAAAATGGCTTCAGGACTCTCACAGCGCCGTCTTCAGCTCAGCCGGCCCAGGTGAAAGCAGTGCCAAGCTTTAGGCCTCTCGGGTTTCCTGTCTTGGGGATGTAGGTGATCGTGGCACTGATTTTGTTTTTGTTTTTTTTCCTCACAGAGAAAGGATTGCCTGGTATTCCTGTAACAGCTAGAAATGTCCCTGGGCAATATGACATTTTATATGTTGACTTAAAATATATCTCCCTTAATTTCATTTTTATTATCACAAACCTACATTTTAGAGATTACATGAATACATTTTTATATTTTGACTTTCCTTCCAAAGAGTTAAAACTGAACTAAGGATTAGAAGGGAGAGGCAGGCACCTGGGAGCCAACACCCAATTGGCAGCCTTTTGTAATACGTAATTTGCCTAAAATTGCGCACCTCGCACAAGCTTTTATTTTCTAATTGATTTACGGTTTGCGCCACTTCTCCCTCATCCCCTACTGTCCTGCTTACGGTGCCAGCGAGTACATTACAGTGAGAGATGATAAATTACGGCACACTTGTGATGCTGATGTGTCAAGAGTAAAAACTGCGTGGTACATGGAGCTTCATGCATTAACAGTGGCGTGGGACACAGCTCCAGCCGGATTCCATTTGTATCTCAGAAATGCCATTTGTTCGTTTGATCACTTACTGCAGTCTGTCTATCAGCCTGTAATTGAAACTGAAGATTAAAATTACACCGTTACAGCTTTTAATTTCTTAATTGAGACAAAGTTTTTAAGTGCTTGAAAGGTCTACGGTGGGGGCGTTGTGAAGAGAGAATGTGAAATGTAGAAAATTTTCTCTTCAGTGTGAAGTTTTGGGTATTTTTATCAAATGTTTATTTCTTTTGTCCAGAGGAAAGAAAGTAGTAAAATTTAAATATTTTGATCCTTATTTTATCTTTATCTTATTTCCTTGGAAATTTTGTTTTCTAATTTCACAAAACTGTATTTTTCCCGACTGTCTGTCCTTGAGCCACGTTGTCAATGAATATGATTCATTTACACATAACAAGTTGATGCCCATCCAGATGATCTAAGTCAGAGACAAATGAAAGAACTTTCAACATATCAGAGTGCCTTTAATTGTCCTTTTGGTTGATAGAAGCGATCTGACATCTGCCCGTAAGTCAGAAAAGTACAAAGAAAGGCAGGGCTGGTACCTCATGTCCGGGGCTCCACGTTTGTTTGGGTCAGACAGCCTCAGCCTGGGCGGGCCTACCTTTTGCAAAGTCAGTCCACCTTAAATTTTATTTTTGTGTGGTGTCTGTGGGTTCTGGTATCGAAATATGAAGAAGCAGATTTATGGCGGCTGCTGGGCACAACAAATTAAGTTGACAGTGATGTATGAGCGCCTAATAGCGTGATGATCCCTCAGCGCGCGCTGGACGCCTCCTGCTTCATTTGGCTCTTGTTAGGATCTGTTAGCAGCTAAATAATGCAATTCTGCTGACTGACTTGTTCTCCCGTTTTCTCTTTTCACCTCTGCTTTCTCAAACTTCTAACTCCCAGACCCATCCTCACGCCAACAAACTGCCCTTGAAGGACTTGTTCACTTATGAGGACTACAGGTTGGTGTGTGTATGCTGTGTGCGAGGCGCGTGAGTGAGTGTGCCTGCGTGCGTGTGCATTGAGGGGCGTTTTCTGAGTGAACGTGGGATCTTGGAAGAGAGGGAAATACTTCAGTCAGAAGTGACCTGCTGTGTCCATTTAAAGCATGGAAACAGATCGTCTTTCAGAAGTCATATCTGTGGTGCGGCTACGTATCAGCATTTTAATAGCCGTGCAGAAATTGCCGTTAACCTGCAGTGGTAGGGGGTTATTGAGGTGGCCGAATGACACTTGAGGTTAAGATTAGTGTGAGGTGGTCATGAGGCTTTTTTCTTTTCCTTTCTAAGTAGACTATTTCAGTATAAAGTGGGGACTTCTTTTCGAACAAAAAGACTTAATTCACTGCACAAAGTAAGAAGAAATAGCATTCTGCATTCACACAGTTCTTAGTGGATAACAGAAAGGAGTTGCAGCTTTGGTTTTCATTGAGGATTGAAATGGATGCAGTCAGCATTTGGGTGAGGGAGGGGAGGCTCGGCTTGGGGAGGGTGGTTTGGCCAGCAGGGAAGACCCACTGGGAATTCAGGGCCTAGAGGGCCAGGCCTTTCAACCTCCATTCCCCACCCTCCTTCCCTCCAACGTCCCCCCTTAATCATGGGTGTCCTCCGGCTCCTTTCACTCTCCCCACGGCCCCCTCAACCCTAGATTTGGTTTTAAATGGTGGTGAAGGCCAAAGCTTACCTTTGGTGCCTAGGAAAAGGGTTTGAAAATTTGTGAGGAGTCAAACCTAAATTTCTGATTATTCTTACCAAGACAGGCGTTTAGATGTTCTGACCTTAATTCACCTTTTTTTCCTACTGTTTTAGGTGGGCCGTGTCCTCTGTAATGACAAGACAAAACCAGATTCCCACAGAGGACGGTTCCCGGGTGACCCTTGCTCTGATTCCTCTGTGGGACATGTGCAATCACACCAACGGCCTGGTAAGGGCTCCCTCTGGTCAGGTTGGATCCGGGAAGCTATTGTTACTCAGTTTTAAAATGAATATGCCACCTACCCACAGTGATTGGTGGTTTTTAACCCTCAACTTCTCCCCTTACTGCCTCCCTCCAAAAAAAGAACGCTCCAAGCCGTGCCACTCTCCCGCCTCCCACAAAGAGAAGCCAATATTTTTCTCTTATCGCGTTAATTTAGTACTGAAAACTGGGAGCTTGAACCTCAGACAGCTTTCAAAAACCACAGTGAACTGCATTTATTTGCTAAGCTGTAATTCAGTCATTCTTATTTTATTGTACCACAGACTGAACCAGTGTTTCTTTTTTCTTATTCTTTCTAAAATACTAATTTATTGAAAAGTCAGTCTTTCTCGTTTTCCCTTCTGTGTTCCTCTTTTTCTTTCTTTGCTGATTCTTATTTCCAGTTAGTAGTTTTCTTGGATTCTTTCCTGCTCTCTAGCCCTTCACCTGGTGTGCTGCAGACCCTTGTCCGTGTGTATGACTCTGCTTTTGTCCAGGAGCGGTTGCTAACTGTCCTCGGCGTTTACGGGGAAAGGTGAAGGGGGGGACTTGCATGCTTGGCTCCTGGCCCTTGAATGTGGGGGTCGTTTGGCATCAGCACACATGGGAAGCACTGGGTAGGGGCCAGTAAGAAAATCTGGACACTTCGTAATTACTGTTCCCTGCAATTAGTAAAAGGAAAAGACAAGCTCTTTTTTCAGCGTTCTTGGGATTCCAGTCAGCAGCCTAAGTTGAGATTGTCTGAGAGAGATTTCCTGATCTTAGTAGATAGAAATATGATGAATCAGAATATCCTGAATTTTTTAGACGTTACCCTAGTACGCGGGTCTTGTGCGTGTTTTATTTGTCCTTCCTCCCCGTCAGCTTTCTTTGTTACGTTAGCAGTGTTCTAAACCGACTGGAAAATGCTGTCAGTGAGTATTTCACACCTAATTCCACGAAATGGCCAGAAGACGCGTGGTGTGTGCAGGCACTTAGGTCGAATACTCCAGCTCTGAGTGGGCAAGGCCTCGCAGGAAGTGCGCTCTCCACTCGTGAGTCTCGAAGGTGTTTACGTTGTAGAGAGAAAGGACAGTTCTGCTTTTATAATTATATTCTTGCTTTAATTTAGATATGCTTGATTTGATCAGCAGTACTAAGGAACAGTAGCATATTGTATGGTTTATCTTTGTGAATGAAGAAGATTTATATTCTTTGTTATTGTTTTTCTTCAGAAATAATGTAAACTGATCATAAGATTGAAGTTTTTAAAATTTTTCAAATAGCTTTCAGGATCTGACTATAGACTTTTTCTCTTTTTAGATTAGATCACAGGTTCCCAAACTTGACTGAACATTAGAATCATTTAAAGAATTATCAAAATCTCAATGCCCAGGCCACATCCTAAACCAATTATCAGAATCTCTGGCAGTTCCCTAAAAAAATATTGTAAATAGGCAGAAATAAACAGTACAGAGCATCTGTAGTAGAACGCAACAGTCCTTTCCCACTGGGCCACTGGCCTGCTTCCCTGGAGTCTACTGGCTGCCTGCTCCCAGGTTGTTGTGGCCCGTGGTCTAGTGTGAATTGCTCCAGTCCCCTCGTTTTACAGTTACCCACCCCCCCAACACACAGGTTTTTGTGTTGCTTCCATGCAAATGAGGTTAAATGATTCACTTTTTCCCCCTTACTAATAAGCATTAGTTTATCTCAACATAAAAATAGCGGATTGACAACAGCTGATGCTGTTTTCCCTGTGCTGTGCCCGTGGGCTTCAACCTGCAGACACGCTGCTGAGCTCAGAAGGTTTCTGCAGGATGCTCGTCCTCGTTCTTTGTGGTGATTTTCCCTCATGCTTAACTCCACCCCTTGGCTGAACTGCTTCCCATTGTCATTAGAACTCTTCATGGGAAATTTTGTCTGGTAGAATTTGAGAAAGTCTATTTTAACATCGCAGAGTTGTATATTATACATATTAGCAGTCAATCTCTTTAAAAAGTGAGGTGCTTGAAATTAAGGTTCAGCTTTTTAGACAAGAGATTTTCTTTTTTGTGTGTGTCTATCCTGACGATCATTCTCTTATTGTCTGTCTATCCTGACTATCACTGAGGGAGTAGGTAGAAATTTGTAACCCAGCAACGCTGTCTGCTTCTAACAATGCCCCAAAAAACCTGGTTATGGTAGTAGAAACGGAAGAATCAAGTCAGTAACAGTAACTCCAAGTCAGCAGCAGTGAGGAAATACAGAGAATAAAAGGTGAACACTTTGGCTGGGTTCTGGTGAATGTCAACTACGGTCCTAGCCACCTGGAGAAGCAAACTTAGATACGTTCGTAAGCTATAGTACTAAGGTGTAAGAAAGAATAGATGTTTAAATTTTCCGTGATTTGTTCCAAATAAGTAGCGTAAGTAGAATACACATGGGCAAGATAAGAGCCTAAGTAGCAGGTTTGCTTTCTTGGGGTTGTTCAGTTTATACAGAGGAGGACACCTCTGAGAGGTTTAGAGGCCACTGTATCAGTTCCCTAAAGTTGCAATGGTTAAGCACTTGGCTGGTGACTGAAAGGCCAAAGGTTCGAACACACGAGCCGCTCCACGGGAGAAAGGTGGCAGTCTGCTTCTGTAAAGATGACAGCCTTGAAAACCCTATGGGGATGTTCTACTCTGTCCAGTAGGATCCCTATGTGTCAGAATCAACTCAGCAGCAGTGAGTTTGGTTTGATTTGATATTAGTTCCAGAGTCCTCAGGTGACGCATACAGTTAAGTGCTCGGCTACTAACTGAAAGGTTGGCAATTCGAGTCTACCCAAAGGCACCTTGGAAGAAAAGCCTGGCAGCCTACTTCCCAAAAATCAGCCATTGAAAACCCTGGGGAGCACAGCTGTACTCTGACACAGGTGGGGTCGCCATGAGTCAGAATCAGCTGAGCAGCAACAGGTACGTTAGTTCCAGTGTATGAAGTGTCGGCGTGATCAACTCTTAAATTTGAGTATGTGACTCTCCGTACCAGTTAGGATGATAAGGTGTCGGCAAATTTAAGCATAACTGAGTGAGGCTGTTTTTTAAGGCCTTTCTGTTTGTGCATGGAAAAGTTTAGAGGCCTCTGGAAAGAACTCCTTAGATAGGATAAGGAAGTGCTGGATAACAGTAGTAGTACCCAGAGCGGACACTAGGGGGTGCTTCCTAGCGCCCATTCTAAGTATGTTGTGTCACTAGGAGTTGGAATCGACTTGGTGGCAATGGGTTTGGGGATCAGGAAGCATGAGGTCTTTGCCACTCTGAAAACTGGACAGAACCATTCTGCATAGGGGTGCCTGCCTGCTGCTCCCTCCCTCCCTCAACCCCCTCTCTCCCTCCCTCCCTGCCTCCTTCTATCCCTCCCTCCCTGCCTCCCTCTTTCCCTCCCTCCCTGCCTCCCTCTATCCCTCCCTCCCTGTCTCCCTCCCTCCCTGCATCCTTCTCTCCCTCCCTCCCTCCCTTCCTTTTTCCCTCCCTCCCCCTCC